TTTAATTTTTTCATGTGAAAATTTTTACTCTTAATTCCATTGAGTTTTGGCAAACAGAGGCATTATTGATTTTTGACGATGCTGAAGCAGTTATCTCAAGACAACTTATCAAAGGACCCATTCTTCCTCCACTGACTTCAAATATTACTTTTATCTTCATCATATATTTAATGATCATGTGTACTTGGGTGTATTTCAGGATTTTCTATTTTTTCCACTGATGCATTTAGGTAACTGTAATGATGTATCAGTTTAAATATTATAGCTTTAAAGTAAGTGTTAATAATTAATAAGGTAAGTTCTTCATTTCCTATTCTCATGAAATCATTCCACCAGATAAGCTTCAGTATCAATGTATTGAGTTTCCCCCCATAACAATCTCATTTTGGGGGCACCTGGCTGGCTCAATTGGTACAACATACAGCTCTTGATTTCGGGCAGTGAGTTTAAGCCCCACATTGGGCACAGAGATTACTTAAAAAAAAAAAATCTCATTTTGGATCATATTTTTTATTTTAACTGGATCATATTTTTTAAATATTAAGATTAGTTTTATAATATTTTTTCCAGAGATGTATTTATTTATTTGCATAGGCAGGGGGAGAGGCAGAAGGAGAGAGAAAGTCCTCAAGCAGACTCCCCGCCTAGCGTGGAGCCTGACATGGGGCTCGATCCCAGGACCCTGAGCCGAAATCCAGAGTCAGCTGCTTAACTCCCTGAGCTACCCAGGCAGCCCTAGAATATTCTTAATGAGTGATGACCACCTCAGGCCCTAGAGGAACCACTTACTCGTGGGTGATACCTTTATCCTAGAGCTAGACTGGGTTTGTTACCATTTAAGAATTTTGCATCTGTATTTAAAAGTGAAATTACTCCCATTTTATATTCTGGTCAGGCTTTGATATCAGAGCATGTCAGCTTTATAAAACAGACCTTTTTTTTCTATTTTCTAAAATCTTTGAGCTTGAAGATTTGGAAAAACTTGCCCCCAATTATCTTGGCTTATGGATTTCTGAATGTAAAATGCTTTCTCCGACAGTTTATGATAGTGACATAAGAGTGCCTGGGAAGGAGAGGGGGTCATCCCAGTCCAGGTCACCATAGCCTCTCACGGGGATGGGTGGCCTCAGTGGTTCTCATGATTCCAAGCCGAGGCAGGAGGATGAGGAGCCGAGAGGCTACCCTGGCCAGGGGAGGTGATGCCCAACCCAGAGAGGTCAAGGGCATGGACCACTGGTGAGTTCAGAGCAGACACAACTGTCCCAGGGAAGATGGAGCTGGAAGGAAGCCAAGCCCCACCCTACGAAGACCATGTACCCTGTCTACCCAGCAACCACCCCACGGGCAGAGGCCACCGCCAGAAGGCAGAACAGGCCGTCCAGAAGGAGACCAGGGAGGCCTCCACACCACCCACAGCCAACTCTTCATGGCCCCATTTCTTTCGTCACACCAGCAGAGCAAGGTCTGCAAAGGTGCGAGGCAGTGTCCCAGGGCAAGACCATGCCAGGTGCACGGTCCAAGTCCTTTAAGACGAGCTGAATCCCCACACAGGACTGAAGTACCCGTGTACGTCACCTCACCTCTGCCATCCTATTTTATGCTTTCTGTTCCTACTGCCTTTTTCTGTGATTATGAAACATCCTTCTTTCTTTCTCTCTCTCGACTTTGAGAGTCGAAAGAAGTTCTGCTAAAAATTATGTTCCTCCCTCACCAAATCTTTCTTTTTTTTTTTTTAAGATTTTATTTATTTATTTGAGAGAGAGAGAATGAGAGATAGAGAGCATGAGAGGGAAGAGGGTCAGAGGGAGAAGCAGACTCCCTGCCGAGCAGGGAGCCCCATGCGGGACTCGATCCTGGGACTCCAGGATCATGACCTGAGCCGAAGGCAGTCGCTCAACCAACTGAGCCACCCAGGCGCCCACTCACCAAATCTTTGATGTCCCCGTAAAGAGAATATAAATTTGGGTGTTTCTCTGGTTGGTCAAATGAGAAGCCCCTCCTGGGCAGCAAATCCCTGCGTGGGGCCCGTTTGTCTCTCTGACGGACGGGGAGGCCCTCCTTCAGTGCCAGCCCCGTTCCTGACCCTGCCAGCACTCTGTCCACACCCGGGTGGGAGTGGAAGCCAGGCACTCCTTCACTTGCAGGCTGTTTATCAGTGAAGTTCCCCAGTGGGGCTAAGATGGCCCCACTGTCTTCCTGTCACCGTGGCTCTCAACAGGGTGGCAGACTAAAAAGCCAGGGCCAATTAAATCAGAAGCTCTGGTGGTGGGACCTGGGCCTCAGAATTCTTAAAATTTCTCAGGTATCTCCAATGTCCAAGGGAGGTTGTAAATCACCCGCCGAACGGCCTTCCCTTCCCTCTGCTTTCTTCAACCAGAGCTCGGGAATGTCGAGGAGTGTCAGCTGGTAGGGAAAGGAAGGAGACCCACTTCTCCCTCTCTGGAGAAGAAGCTCCTTCCCATGTGGTAACTTACAGGTAGGTGAGCCTTTTAGAACCCAAATTCACATGCACTATAATCTCTAGAACGTATGTGATGTTTCTGGCATTTGGATGGCTCCTTCCATGACATACCTCCATCCCACCCCGACTTTGTATATTCCTTTTGTCCTAACGATGGCCGTGGAAGGACTTCAACACGGAGGTCCAGTTCATTATCTTGAATTTGAACAGAACGACATTCAGTTGCTTCAGAGCATTGGGAAACTGAGTGTTTAGCCTGCAGAACTTTTCATTTTCCTTTGGAAATGCAATGCCTAGCTGGGAGAGTTGGGGTACTGAAAGTCCATACCAACTTGGGCTGTTGCGTCAAAGTCAACTTTATTAACGAATACCTGTTTTAATGTGGTCTATAAAAGTGATTGCTATCCTTTTAGCACGTCTTGCACTCCCAGCGCACTGAAGAGGGAGATGGAGTCAGGTGCCAAACCACACAGTCATCTTGGAAAGCATTTCCATGAATGTGAAATATTAGTGCTATGAGGGTAATGGTGTTCTTCCATGGACCGTTCTCTTTTTGAAGAAGAAGAGGCAGTGATACCTCCAAGAGGTCATAACAGCCAGGCCCCAGGACTAATGGCAAAGCCAGAACCAGACACCAGGGCTCCCAGCCTGGGATCTATCCTGCTGATGTCACCTCCTACATGATCTGTGATGCCACTAAGGGTTGCCAAGACATTTTATGGGCTATCACACTGACTATGGGTCTAACTACATCTATTTTTTCCTCCCATTGACTCTGCAAGCTACCTGCAGTGACTAAAATAAATGCTGAATGGCAGACACGCACTCACCCTACCCACCAGCTACATGCACATCCGTGTGCACTCCCAGCACACACACTGAACAAATCAGGGAAAAGACACATTACTCACTTTGCACTTCATTTATTCTAGGCAAGGGACCACTGCCACATTGCCCACTTTGATTTTCTAAGAGCTGGAAAGCGACCAGCACTCATATCACACTCCATCAGCAAGTGAA